ATAATAATGATGACAATAATAATAATCATTATTATCATTAGTATTATCATTGTCATTAATGCTATCATTTTTACTATAATTACTATGATTGCTATCATTATTATTAATAACATTATCATTATCATTAGTAGTATCAGTAGTATCATTATTAGCACTATTACCATAACCATTATTTTTTGTCATTGTTGCTATCATCGTTATCATTATTGTTATCATATCATCATTTCAAAATCACAACCATTATCATTATTGTCGTTACTGTTATCACCATTTTTATCAATATTAGTATTACCATTAGCATCACTTTTATTTTCATCATTACTACCTTAATTATTAGTGCAAGTAAAGGAAGGAGGGAAGGAGGGCGAGAGGCGAAGAGGAGCAGAAGAGGAGACGGAGGAGAGAGAGAAAAAAAGAGAAAGAAAGAGAAGCGAGAAAAAGGAGAAAGAAAGAGAGAGAGAGAGCGAGAGCGACGAAGAGAGAGAGGAGGAAGGGAGGAATGGGAGAGAGAGAGAGTGGGACGGAGAGAAGGAGGAGAGAACGGAGAGAGACGGGAGAGGAAGGAGGGAGAGAGGAGATGTATGAGAACAGGGAGCGAGGAAAAGACCACAGTATAAAAAAAGACAGATCAGAAAGAAGAAAGAGTAAAGAAAGAGAAGAAAGAAAGGAGGAGAGACGGAGGGAGAGAGGATGAAAAAGGAGAAGGAAAAAAAAATATGTGGTTCGTGTCCATCCAATATATGTATGCATACAGCTGTGACCAATGCTGCAATGGTTTCCTCTCTATATAGCACGTGACTCTGCGCCATAAAATCATTAAAAAAAAACTTTTACACATGCGAATTGCATCTTTATGAGTTCGGTTACAAAGAATGAGAGAGAGAGATGACGAGAATGAGAGAGAGCAGAAAGATAGAGAGAGAGAGAGAGAAGAGAGAGAGGAGAGAGAAGAGAGAGAGAGAGAGAGAGAACGAGAGAGAGGAGAGAGAGAGACAGACAGACAGGACAGTCAGACAGGCAGAGAGAGAGAGAGAGAGAGAGAGAGAGAGAGAGAGAGAGAGAGAGAAGAGAGAGAGAGAGAGAGCAGCGAGAAGAGACATAGAGAGAGGAGAGACCGCCCTTGAGGAGAGAGAGAGAGAGAAGAAGACATGCCAGAGAAAGAGAGAGAGCAAGAGACAGGACCGAGAAAGCAGACGAGAGCAGAGAGAGAGATGGGAAGGGAGAGAGGACAGACAGACAGAGAGAGAAAGGAGCCGAGAGAGAGAGAAACATAACAAGCTATTTTGGATAATGACCTCGTTTGACCTTTTCGTTGCAGTTCGTATCCCTGGACCGATATACTTTATTTCTGTCTTTCTCTCTCTCTCCTCTCTCTCTCTCTCTCTCTCTCTCTTCTCATCTCTCTCTCTCTCTCTCTCTCTCTCTCTCTCTTCTCTCTCTCTTTTATCTGTTTATCGTTTTGTTTAATTATTTCATTACAAATCAAACTAAAATAGTCATTCTAAAAAAGAATCTTACACCCTCCCCCCAAGAAATAATATGATAACAATGATATGATAATAATAACAATAATATAAAAATAACATGATGATGATGATGATAATAATTAATAATAATAATAATTAATAACAATAATAATAATAATAATATAATGATAATAATAATAATTGATAATAATAATATAATAATAATTAATAATAATCATATCATAATAATGATATAATAATAATAATGAATAAATAATAATAATTAATAAATAATGATATAATAATAATAATAATAATAATAATAATAATAATGAATAAATATAATAAAATAATATAATAATATAATAATAATTAATGATAATAATAATAATGATAGATAATAATAATGATAATAATAATTATGATAATAATAATAATAAATTAATAATAACAATAATAATAATAATAATAATAATAATAATAATAATAATAATAATAATAAATAGTGAAGGCAATACAAAATAACAATTAGAATATGATAAGAATATAAATAATTAATAATAGTAAATTAACAATAATTAATAATAATAATAATAATTGAATAATAATTATAATAATAATAATAATAATAAACAGTAATAATAAAAAATAAGAATAATGA